CTCGACTGTGGCATAATAAAAGCTCCGCTGCTTTACCCCACATACGCACGACCGGAAGCAGCGGAAGCGCTCGACTGTGGCATAATAAAAGCTCTGCTGCTTTCCAGCCGTGTGTCTCGCTCGTTCAGCGCCTCGTTTCGCTTCGACCGCTTTCAGCCTCACCCTGCTTCATACTACTACGTTAATAAATCATTAGCTCATCCATGAACATGATTTCTGCCCGAGTCCCGTTGGATTGCATCGGCTGTGGACGACAACTCATGATTCCTCACTCAGTCACGGCGTCATCAAACTACGCCTTTGTCTCTTTGTTTATTTTGAATACGCGCCCTCTAGTGGTGAAAATTACATATTGTGCCTTTAAGACTGGTTTTGTGGTCCATGGTCATATATATAATAATTATAAACAGTACACACACATATATTATGTAAACAAAAACGTTTATTTTGGATGCGATTAATCGCGATTAATCGTTTGACAGCACTAAAAGAAAGAAATGTATTACAAACACAGACTCTTTCATGACTCAGAAAATGATAAAAATGTGTCCTCATCTCGTGCATTAGAAGTAGAAGTGGACACTGCATTTATAACTGCATGAGAGGATGATATATGAGCTGTAAGTTTCCCGCTGATATGATGCAAGCTTTATTTAACATCACAACTGACAACATATGGAATACTCGCAGTCAGATACGCAAATTATTATATTTTGACGTCACTACAGGGAAATAACCTGATTTATTAATAAACGGGGAAAACTGGTTATTTTAATAAGCTGATTTTTGTGAGTTATCAGCTTACTGGTGTGCATGTAAACGTGCTCCGTGTTTGTTCAAACATCTGCGTTGAGTTACTGAAGAGCTTGTTCATCTCAGCGCTGATACATCGAGTTGTTCTCTGGTTGTAGAAGTTATATTATAATTTAATTTGACTTCAAAGCACCTCCCGGTTCACAGACGGGTCGATGATTCAATGCAGACTCGTGACTGTTTATACAGTGTTTGATTCATTGGATGTTTCCTCTCTTTGGAATTTAGTGTAAAGAAAACACTTTTTTTTACTTTCTGGACTTTCTGCATGATTTGGGCCACAATCTGTCCCCCCTTTTTAGAAGATCTGGGGTTTTTTATTATTAAGAACTGCTTTTCATGTCGAAACTGACACCAGCGCATATGCACAGAAACAGACGTTAATTATTGCTGCTTTTTCTCTTAAATTATTTATCTCAAAGACCCTGAATGATGAAATTAACATTTATTTATTTATTTTATAATTATTATTATTATTTTAGTTAAAGTTTTGGTAATTAAGTTTTGTTTATTTTTGTCATTATTATTATTTTTTTTTATTATTATTATTATAAAATTGTTAATATAGTTTTTATTTATTTTTTTATTTATTAGTATTTATTTTTTGTTTTCACTTTAATTTTAGTTGTTACAATTTTAATTTTAATTTTTTAATGTCTATATGATTCATCTTTATTTAATTATTTATTTAAACTTGTCTAAATAGTTTTTATTTTTTTTTATTTATTTGTTTTTAATTTTTGTATTTTCTGTTTTCACTTTGATTTTAGTTAAAGTTGTAGTAATTTTGTTGTGCTTTTTGTCATTTTTTATTATTTTTAAATATGTCTAGTATTATTATTAGTAGTAGAAGTATTAGTATTATTTATTAATAGGTCTAAAAAACAGAATTATTACAATGAAATAAAAATTCAGTCTTTAAAAAAGTTTATTTATTCACTAATTTCTTTCTTTCTTTCTTTCTTTCTTTCTTTCTTTCTTTCTTTCTTTCTTTCTTTCTTTCTTTCTTTCTTTCATCACATTTCAAACTAATCCAAAACCTAAACAAGTAATTGAAACAAAATATAAGTAATGAAAACAACATTAAAATAGTTTATAATAAAACTGTAAAATGTTAGAATGGTATTAAACAGTAAAGTCAAATAAAATAAAAATAAAGAATATGAAAAAATAAATAATGTATGCTATAAATTGTGAAGTATTTGTGCATCATAGTAGTATTTCTTGTACTGCCTTTATGTTTTTTGCAGATTTCAGCATTGGCCTCCGTCCCTGAGTATTTCCATTAACTCTTTCCCCGCCAGCGTTTTTGATGATTTTCACAAAAATTTCATGGCCCCCAGAATATTTTGTTGTATGAATATCTGAACATGCAATACATCAGACTAAACAAAAAAAATCTGTTTTATTGTAGCTTCAAGCAATCTTTTTTATCAACACTTGAATGTTGGTAGGTTTCATTAAAAAAGCAACATTTTGAGCAAACTCGCATTTTTATCAAGTACTACATCTGGATCATATTCAGTACTATTATCAAAGCAAAGATGCAGTAGATGGCTTCCGTCAGCACTCCCAAAGCTTGCACAGGCCTTTATCACTTTCTGGATTGACATTTCACTCGGTAGCATTTGGCAGTTTTCATTTACATGCAGTTAGTGTTGATGATCGAATTATTTTTCATATGCATATGCTTACATATGAGATCGCTCGTTTCTGTGTCTTCCTGGCCTGTGTTTTTGATCGAGTGATTATGGAGACTTAATTCAGGAGATGCGTAATAGCACCCTTAGCGTATAACAACCCGGAAAATTCGGTGTTTGTCGGGGGGAGGAGTTAATAAAAAACTTCAAAATAAAAGCCTATATTGACCTGCTGTCTGTGTTAATATATGAATTTTTCTCTTTGTTTCTCAGATGTTGATGAGTGTTCAGAAAGCCCTCGGATCTGCGGTCCGTACAGCATCTGCAATAACCAGCCGGGATCTTTCCGCTGTGAATGTCTGGATGGTTTTCAGTTCGCCGGCGACGGACGGACGTGTGTCGGTAAGAGCCTGTGTTTTAGAGACATGCTCTGAACGCTTCTGAATGGGGTTTGAGTTTGCTGTGATTTAGGTGTGTCAAAAAAAATTTGAATTTCGATTATATTCGTCGATTTAAAATAAAAGTCTGTGAGTGTATGTTTGTGTGTGTGTGTCTGTGAGTGTGTGTGTGTGTGTGTGTGTGTGTGTGTGTGTGTGTGTCTGTGAGTGTGTGTGTGTGTGTGTGTCTGTGAGTGTGTGTGTGTATGTTTATGTATATGTGTGTGTGTGTGTTATGTGTGTGTGTGTCTGTGAGTGTGTGTGTGTGTGTGTCTGAGTGTGAGGCAGTGGACCAAACCCCTGTGAGGCAAGTGAGGGAGGACTCAAAACGTTTCTAAGCTTAAAACTTATTGTTTTACTACTTACACAATTATTTTAAGTTTGTAATGATATTTTTAGTGGGGACAACCCTCAGATGGGGGGGTCCTGACCCCCCGTCCCACCCGTGATTTACGCCCCTGACTGATATTATGCCTTTTAAATTCTAATATAATTCGAATATTGATAATATTTAAGTGCAGGATTCGAATTTAGTTCTGTGATTGTGTCCCGTGCAGAGACTGAGCGTCCCGTGGATCACTGTCAGAGAGGAACGCACGACTGCGACGCTCCTGAACGTGCCCGATGCAGCTACACAGGAGACTCGTCTTATATCTGCTTGTGTCTGCCGGGCTTCTCTGGAGACGGACGGGCGTGTCAGGGTAACATCTCACTCACCGCTGAGCGTAGAATACACAGAAAAATGTCTGTATGGCTAGTAGCAGTGTTGGGGAGTTACACGGCTGCTAGCCTATGTGACCCTGGAGCACAAAACCAGTAATGAGGGTCAATTTTTCTAAATTGAGATTTATGCATCATCTGAAAGATGAATAAAAAAGCTTTCCATTGATGTATGATGTACGAGCGATCTCATATGTAAGCATATGCATTTCCAAAGTAACCTTCCCAACACTGACTAGTAGTGGCTGTAAATGGATGGTTGCTCTATCTCAGTTTCTGATGGTGAGTTCATATTTTTTCAGGGCCAAATTTAATATTTTCTCAGATGAAAGACAATGCTGCAGCTCTGGTCCAAACCCTAGTGAGCTGTACATTTCTGTACATCACTCTGCAGTCTTATTAAAGACCTCATTCACAACAGTGTTATATTAGTATCATTGATATACGTTACAGTTTTTGTTTATGTTTTGAATTAGATTTTACTTTTATATTTTCTGTTTTCACTTAAATTTGAGTTAAAGTTTTATTAATTGTGTTTTGTTTTTGTCATTTTTATTAATTATTTAAAAATGTCTATATATTAATTTTCATTTATAAGTTTTAATTTTATATTTTCTGTTTTTAATTTTAGTTCAAGTTTTAGTAATTTTGTTGTGTGTTTTTTGTTTTTTTAAATGTCTTTAGTTTTTATAAATTTTTATTCGTTTTTTATATTTTCTGTTTTCAGTTTAGTTTTAATTATAGCAAAAAATATATAATTTTTATTAATTTGTGTTTTTATATTTTAAGTTTAAATTTTCTGCTTTCACTTTAATTTGAAAGATTTAGTACTTGTTGTTTTTTGTCATTTTGTATGTATTGTAGTTTTTTAAACATATTTATATATTTTTATAAATTTTTATATTTTATTTTTTCTGTTTTCACTGTAACTTTAGTTAAAGTTTTATTCATTTGGTTGTGTTTTTTTGTCATTTATATGAATTTTTATTTATTATTTTTAATTTTTTTATATATTTTTTATAATATCTTACTGTATTTTTATCTATTACTTTTTAATTTATATAATTTCCTTTTTCACTTTAATTTTAGTTAAAGTTGAATTTTAGTTTATAGTTTGAGTTTTTTGTAAAAAAAAATTAAAATAAAAAAAAAATTTACTAAAATTTTTTTTTTTTTTTTTGCAATAACTAGTAAACGTGCGTTCATTATACATTTTCTTTGTATTAATTTCTATGACTTTTAAAAAGTCTAGAAATCACAATTTTTAAACGATTCTTCCTCATATATCCAGGTTTTCCAATCCTGGTTCTTCAGAGACAAAAACAGAATTCATTTCTTGAATTAAAACTAAGAAATGTGGATTTTGATTGGTTTTAGACCATTTAAAAGCTTGTTTTGTCTTATTTTAAATGATTTCAGATCAATGGTCCTCCTCTATTCTGGTTTAGATGAAGAAACCTTTGAAGACGTTCGTCAAGTCACCTTTATTTCTATAGCGCTTTATACAAAACAGACTGTTTCAAAGCAGCTTCACAGTAATAAACAGAGAAACAACATAATTAGTGATGCAAACTTCATCGAATATGATATACGTAAATTCAAATTCTGCTGTAACTCAGCTCTAAACAGACAATAGTGTGGCTATTCAGTACAGAGCAGCGTCTCGCAGCAGACAGCGGGGCCCCTGGAGACAGGAAGTGCTGTGATCTGGACAGGAAATGCTCGGCGCAGCTGTGTGCATGATTTATCACTTCATGACGGCTGATGGTCAGACAGATTGCAGTTGGGTCTCACATATTGAGACGCTCCAGCTGTAAGGAAGGGCTGGTGTGTGTTTGTTCGGCCGTGGGAGAGTGATTCGCTGCAGGGTGGACATACTTCAGTAATAACACGCAGCAGATGTGCATTCCTTCATATAGAGCTGATTCTGTACATATAGAGCTGTTTGCACGTGTAGAACTGAAGCGATTTTCTCACGCAGATACCGATGAGTGCCAGCCGGGCCGTTGCCATAGCGATGCCATCTGCCACAACACCCAGGGCTCCTTCACCTGTCAGTGCCGGCCTGGTTTCCACGGCGACGGCTTCAGCTGCACACCTGGATCCGGTAGGTGTGGTGTGACGCTCATAGGATGCTTTAAAATCAGTGTCAAATGACTTTTTTAACTTCTGCGAGTCTTCTATGAAAACCAGGGCTATTATAATGTTAAGCATAATTCAATCCATAAAAAAAAAAAAATGCATTACTTCAAAAAAAATAAACATGAGCTGAAATAAAATCAGATATATTAAAAACTTAAACTTATTTTATTTCAACAAGTTAAAGTACTAAAATAACTAAAACTAATAAAAATTAGAGACACAACAAAAAATGATTAAAACTAACCAAAATTAAAATGAAAACAGAAAGTATAAAAATAAAACCCAGTTTAATATATATATATATATATATATGAAAAATTATAAAATGCTAAATAAATAAAAAAAGATTAGTAAAACATTATACTAATAAATAATAGAAAATTAATGAAAAATGAATCATTCATAATAACACAAAAAACATATATTAAGATAATAAATAGAGTTAATTTGGATTTCATGTTGATTTTAATGTTTGTTTACTTTTTCAGGGCCTTTTATGAATTTTTAAGGTTGTATTACTGTCTTAAAAATAAAATTACAAATAGAATAATTTACATACTGTATATATCTTTAAACATTTATTATTATTATATTAACTATTAAAACTTACAAAAAAGAAAAAGAAAAAATATATATCTTACTCATAATCTAAAACCTAAAACTTAATATAGACTTATTTACAAAAAGATAATAATAATGAAAATGGCACAGCAAATGACTAAAACTTAAATAAACATAGAAAATATATATAAAAATTCTAATTCAAAATATTAACAAAAACTATAATAGTATCTCAATGATGAAAATAAGTATATTTTTCTTCAGAATAACATGCACTGATGAAAGTCCAGCAGATACTATGATTTGTTTTATTAAAATAAGTATTATAAATGATAAAATAATAAAGTATTTAAAAATGTATACTTTTTTTATTAATAACAATTGTATTGAAAATGAATGAATCATTCACACACATATTTAGATGAAGATTTAAATGAAGTCCATTTGGGTTTAATGTTGGCTTTAAAGCACACAAGGATGCTGTTTCTTCATTTTGTCGTTCAGTGCCTCAGTTTCTCTCTCCCACACTCTTCTCACGGCTGTCAAAGCCTCTGTTCTTCGGCGATGGTCAGATAAGAAGCACTCATTGTAATTTGTCTGGGTGTTTTCCTTCCTCTTCGTCTGGGGTTTTGCTCGGCCTGGTTTATATTATCATATGGTTCTCATACAGAGGAATGTAAGCTCTGTTGTATATACTGTACTGATCATCTGGAGCAGCATTCAAGCTCACAGCTCCTTCACACTGACAGTCATGTAATATTCACCTGCTCACTTGTGATTACAAAAATAGATTGACTCTCAAAACCATGTGCAGGTTATATATAACCACAAAAAAATTCATATAAAATACAGTTAATTAAGCAAAAATGCTGTAAAATTGTGAAATATTATTGCTATTTAAAACAGCTGTTTGCTATGTGAATCTCTGTTAAACTGTAATTTATTTCTGTGATGCACAGCATCATTACTCCAGTCTTCAGTGTCACGTGATCTTCAGAAATCAGTATAATATGCTGATTTATTATCAGAGCTGGAAACTGTATTTAAATTTGTTACTTTTTTAAAAATTTGCAACTTTTTTTATGTGTTTTAAAAAAAACATTTTTAAAAAAATTTGTTACTTTTTTTTTATTTGTTACTTTTTTTTTTTTAAATGTGTTACTTTTTTAAAAATAGTTGCAATACTGTTTATAAAATGTATAGCTTGTGAAATTTCAGGAAAAAGATAACGTTTTCATACTTAAGTTTTTTAATGTGTGAGAACTATTAATGCTAAAGGTTTGGTTTTATTGGTTTTTCACATAAGTGAACATTTTCAGGTTTTGCACATAAGTCACATAAAAAGGCCTGAATATTGTTGTATTATTAATGATTTTGTCAGCCAAACCCTTTTTACCTAAACTATTTTATCTTTTTAGTAAATTTAGATTTTTTTATCTTTATTTGTTATGTTTTAATTTTTATGATTTAATTAATTTGTAATAAATGTTTTTTTTTAAGAATTGTTTTAGAATTTTTAATAAATATATTACAAATATTTTTTATTTTATTTTAATTTGACTTTTTATCATTTAATGCAATTGTTATTTTTGTATTTATTTTTGTTTTATTTTGATTTTTTAATTTGGAAATTTTAAATGATTTTTTTATTTTATTTTAGTTTGACATTTACTTCTTCTCTCTGTTGAATCCTGGTACTGTGTGTGTGTGTGTGTGTGTGTGTTTCAGGAACCCGTCAGGTGGAGTGTGTCGATCCGTTCTCTCGTCTCAGGAGGAAACTGACCGAAGGGATTCAGTATCCGTTCTCCATCGTGTCTTACGGCAGAAACCTCTACTACACCGACTGGAGGAGGTACGGCACGCTTGGTGTTACTTCAGAGCCGTCTGATTTGCAAACAAATGACTCTCATGAACCAGTTCTTATAATGAATCGATTCAAACGAATCAGAATGAATCAGTCGAAAGAATCACTGAGTGTAGTTAAATACGGACATTCACAAAAAAGGTTTATTGTAATAAATGATTTTAATTAGACATTAAAACATTAAAATATATTACTACAATAAACAGGTTTTTCTCCCTGACTGTAAAATCAGGATTTCTATGTTGGACTTAAATTCAGATTTGACCAGCTTCACACCTCTTCACACAGATCTTGGAAATGTGTGTTAGTTAGTGATTCATTTCTATTTGACCTTTTTGATTAAATTAATTTTTAGTAAGTATCTTGCTTTGATTTGTTTTTATTTTTAAATGATTTATTTTCACTTAAAATATTTCTGATTTAATTTTTAATTTTAATAAGAGTTTTTGATTGTATTCATTTAAAAGTGATTATATAATATTATATATGTATATATATTATGATTTAATTTTTGTCTTATTTTGATGATTTTATTTAGTTTGTAACTTAATTGTTTTTTTTTTATTTTCATTTAAAATTGAGATTTTACATATTTCATAAATGTTTAGTAAGTGCCTTATTTTTATTTGTTTTTCTTTTAAAATAATTTATTTGAATTTGATATTTTTATGATTTAATTTTTCATATAAACGTTTTTATTTTTAAAAGATTTGTTTGTTTTCATTTTACGAAGTTAGTTGTTGGTTAGTGTTTTATTTTTATTTTATTTTACATTTTTCATCATTTAATTTTATAACTTATAATCAAATTTTAATTAAAAATATATATTTTACATTTTAATTAGTTATTTGTTATTTAGTTAGTTGCTTGTTTTTATTTTTATGATTGATTTATTTTAATTGAACATTTTTTACTTCACGTTTAGTAAGTGTTTTATTTTAAATAATTTATTTAAAATTAAATTTTACAATAATTTATTTCTTTGATTTGTCGCTAGGGAAGCAGTGGTTGCTATGGACCGTCATGATGGGATGGAGGTGGAGGAGTTTCTTCCTCAGAGACGTTCGCGTACATACGGCATCGCTATGACTTACCCACAATGCCCTGCAGGTCTGAGCTCAGGCTACTCTCATCGTAAACGACTGTCATTTCTGAACTCATTTGAATCCCGTGACTGTGGTCCGCAGGCGTGAACTACTGCTCTCGTGATAACGGAGGCTGCTCTCATCTCTGTCTGCCGCGGCCGGGCGGATTCTCCTGCCGCTGTCCCGACGCCAGAGACGGCTCGTGTGTCGAGCGGGACGAGAATTTCTGAGAGACACTGAGGACTGAAGACTTGTGTTCCTTCCGCTCGGATCAAGATAATCAATACAGTAGGGATGCACTAGACTCATATCGCATCTGCCAATATCAGTGTTCTTCGTCATTGTGTCAGTCTGATGCAGAGGTGTAAAGAATACCTAAAAACCATACTTGAGTAAAAGTACAGATGCCTTACAGTGAAAATTACTCCATGTTACAAGACACCAATTCCTAAACAACTTGAGTAAAAGTCTTAGAGTATCTGATTTTAACAGTACTTAAGTATTTTACTTATAGGCTCAAAGATGCACTAGTCAAAGTGAAAAACTGTAACGTTGTGCAGAGGCAAGCATCTATGTGCAGGCATTTAATGGAAAAACTAGAACAAACAATAAGCCAAAAACCAAAGGGAACAAAGAACAGAATGACTGGCAAACAGACAACCATTACATTCAACAACTCACAAAAAACTAGGGCTATATATACACACAGGCGGCTAACAAGCTTAACAAGATAACAAGACACACCTGGGGAGACTAATCAAGGGGAACCAATGAACAAACGGACTACAAACTGACTACAAACACCACGTGAGACAGGAAGTGACATCAGAGTCCAGGGCAAGGCACAGATAGCATGACACACAAACAAGAAAGAGTTGATTTGTGAGGAGAGCAATCACGTTTATTTTCTAAAACCAAAATAAAACTGAACGCCTCAAAATTACAAAACAAAACAAACTATCTTTCAAAAAGGTCTCTTCAGTGTCATGGATAAATAAAATAATGTTAAGTCAAATGAAAAAGCCGAAGCCTTCTTGCAGTGGATGTGCTGGTTTGGGCCTCACGTCCTCATCTCGTATATAAAACACCTCTGATTCACAAATACTTGCTGAGGAACTCACATTCATGTAAAGTAGCCTTGTTGACAAGTTTTTTAAACGCATAAGATGCAGTGCTTTCAGTGACCTGTAGCAGGCAGTATCACGTCTTTTGTAGCAGAAATAAACTGCTGCAGGAAAAGCTAGGTCCATGCAAAATGTAACGTGTAACTGCAACACTCATTTCACATGTAGTGGAGTAAAGAGAACAGATACTCGTTCAGAAATGTAGTGAAGTAAAGAGTAAAAGTTGCTAATATCTTTGATACAACTACAAAGTACCCGAAAAGATACTCAAGTACAGTAACTAAGTACATTTACTCCAATACTTTACACCTCTGGTCTTGTTAAGTCAAATGAAAAAGCCGAAGCCTTCTTGCAGTGGATGTGCTGGTTTGGGCCTCACGTCCTCATCTCGTATATAAAACACCTCTGATTCACAAATACTTGCTGAGGAACTCACATTCATGTAAAGTAGCCTTGTTGACAAGTTTTTTAAACGCATAAGATGCAGTGCTTTCAGTGACCTGTAGCAGGCAGGATCACGTCTTTTGTAGCAGAAATAAACTGCTGCAGGAAAAGCTAGGTCCATGCAAAATGTAACGTGTAACTGCACACTCATTTCACATGTAGTGGAGTAAAGAGAACAGATACTCGTTCAGAAATGTAGTGGAGTAAAGAGTAAAAGTTGCTAATATCTTTGATACAACTACAAAGTACCCGAAAAGATACTCAAGTACAGTAACTAAGTACATTTACTCCAATACTTTACACCTCTGGTCTGATGAGGCTGATAATAGACGCAGATAATATCAGGGATTGGCTTTCTTCAGTCTTTCAACGGTAATGAACAGTTCAGTATGGAAGCTTGTTTACACCACGGAAATAAAAAAAATAAGAACGGTAATTGCGACTTTTCTCGCAGTTGTAAGTTTACATCTCACAATTCTGACTTTTTTAACAGATTTCAGTTTACTTTTTATGGTTCTGACTTTTTATGGAATTCAGAGTTTACTTTTCGTAATTCTGACTTTTTTTATCGAAAATTCTGAGTTTAACTTTTTAAAATTCTAACTTTTTCATTGGAACTCGGAGTTTACCTTTTTCGTAATTCTGACTTTTTTTCAGAATTCGGAGTTTACTTTTTCGCAATTTGTATTTTTTGAATTCAGAGATTACTTTTCACAATTCTGACTTTTTTATTGGAATTCAGAGTTTTCCTTCGCAATTCTGACTTTATTTAAATTCTGAGTTTACTTTTTGCAATTTTGACTTTTTTATTGTAATTTGTAGTTTACTTCTCGCGATTCTGACTTTTTTTAATCGAAATTCTGAATTTATCTTTCAAAATTCTGACTTTTTTATTGGAATTCAGAGTTTTCTTTCGCAATTCTGACTTTATCGAAATTCTGAGTTTACTTTTTGCAATTTAAAATTTCCTTTATCAGAATTCAGAGTTTACTTTTCACCATTTTGACTTTTTTATTGTAATTTGGAGTTAACTTTTCGCGATTCTGACTTTTCTCCCCCTCAGAATTCTGAGTTTATATCATGCAATTCTGTTTTTGTTTTGTTTTGTTTCCGACATTAAAATGATAATTGCGACTTTTTAGCTCAATTTTTACTTTGTTTTGTGAGTTTATATCTTGCCGTTCTGACTTTTTTTATCGGAATCCTGAGTTTCCATCTCGCAATTCTTTTTTTCCCCACCACAGAATAAAAAATATTAAAAAGGCAGCTGCGACTTTTTTCTCAAAATTGCGAATGTATAGCTCACAATTCTGAGTTTATAATTTGCAATGTATATGTATATTTCAGAACTGTGAGATAAAAAATATCATAGTAACCTTTAGTTTTTAATCTACAGTGTATGGCAGAAACAAGCTTCCATCATTTCTTCTGCACATTTATATTTTTCGATGTATTTTACTGAAAAATTCTATATTGCATCTCTACTGTTAACCTTTTTTAAAGCAGGTAAAATATGAAATATGTATAATATCAGCAATTATATTGATAATTGTTAATGAAAAATATCAGTTGTCTGTATTAGCGTTTAACCGTCATAACATTTAGATTTTTATTTATATAATGTTTATATATATAATGTAAAATTAATGAAATGAAACAATATTTAAACACAAATATGCATTTATAAAGCTGTTTATCATTTGAAATGTCTGTATTGGTCGTTTTTAATCTACAGTATATGGCAGAAACAAGCTTCCATCATTTCTTCTGCACATTTATATTTTTCGATGTATTTTACTGAAAAATTCTATATTGCATCTCTACTGTTAACCTTTTTTAAAGCAGGTAAAATATGAAATATGTATAATATCAGCAATTATATTGATAATTGTTAATAAAAAATATCAGTTGTCTGTATTAGCGTTTAACCGTCATAACATTTAGATTTTTATTTATATAATGTTTATATATATATAATGTAAAATTAATGAAATGAAACAATATTTAAACAAATATGCATTTATAAAGCTGTTTATCATTTGAAATGTCTGTATTGGTGCATCCCTACTAAAACCACTTGAAAACATGAATCTGAATCCATCTTCACAGTTTAGCTGATAGTTAGATAAATAAATATTATGTTTTATTGTAGCTGTCCTTCAGCTCTTGGGCTGCTGGGATACATTTATACTATGTGTGAGGGGAAGGCATTCTGATTTAGGTAAAATATTACTTACAATTATATTTTAATCTGACTTTTAAAATGCCAGATGATGATTTTCTTTTTGTTTATTGTAAATATCAAAACTACATCATCTTTATGGGCTCTGTATTTCCTATCTGGTGCTCAGGGGCCCGTTTTCGGCCGTTTTATGTGACGTTTACACTCAGACAGTCCATCTGGACAAGAGCCTCCTATGGGAAATCACACGATTTGTTTACACACTGCATGATGGGAAGGCGGGCCGCTGTGGAAACAGCTGGACAGAGGAAGAAGGAAGAGAGAGACTGTGTTTTGTACAGCTGTTCAATTAAAACACATTTTTTTAAGAGGTTCGAGTTTGTTGTGTTTAATTCCTCCAGTCACATTCTTCAAATCAGACTCGCATGGAAACATGAGAAATTGGCCTTTTAACTTATAAAACTTACAGGTGGATCTGATAGCTATGTTTATTTTTTGGCAAGTTTCTGTGCATTTCAGGCATTTTAACAAACAGGTTGGATGATCTGTGATTCCTGCTGTAGAGTTTCACACACCAGCAGATGTTTGACTTCACGCAGAGCTCTAAATGATACGGTCTGTGCTACACACATGGGGCTATACGAGTTCACGTAAGACATTTGGAAACGATTCATATGGTACAATAATAAATCAGTATGTAAAAGACTGATTCTTTTTATTATTTTTAGTGTTTAAAGCTACACTATGTACTGTAATCAGAATCAGAATCTTTATTGTCATTATACATAAAGTACAAGTAAATTATGTGCAATCCTATTTCAGTGCAAAAATAAGGTTTACAGTTAAAACAACCACTAAAATAAATACATAAATAAACGACCAATAGGCCTATGTGTATATATGTAAGCAAACATATACATACACACACACACACACATACATGCACATGTAAAAATATATATATATATACTTTAAGCATCAATATAAACTAGACCATCAGATAACGGTACAAACTGTAAGTTGATAAAAACTGTTTATTGGCATTGTTACCAGCATAAACATTTATTTATGAACCAGTGATTCGATGAATCGTGTTTTATTACGCGTACTGAAACAAAACGACCCAATTTTGCTATAAGTTTGATCGCAACATATAATCGTTGTTAATAGCGTTCACCGTCTGTTTGATTACATGTTAACTAACTGCATGATTTTTACTTTACATTTCTGCCATATGCACATCAACTTGACCACTGATAAGCTATAAATATGTAGAAACTTAAATTTTCTGTAAAGCTGTTTTGCAACGATTTGTATGGCGAAAACCGCCAAATAAACTTGAATTGAAAACTAACTTTACTACGGAAGCCCGATCTGAATCAAAAGATTCATGAACCCGCTCCGTAGTCCCGATCTGAATCAAAAGATTCACGAATCTGCTCCGAAGTCCCGATCTGAATTAAAAGATTCACGAATCTGCTCCGAAGTCCCGATTTGAATCAAAAGATTCATGAACCCGCTCCGAAGTCCCGATCTGAATCCAAAGATTCATGAACCCGCTCCGCAGTCCCGATCTGAATCGAAAGATTCATGAACCCGCTCCGCAGTCCCGATCTGAATCGAAAGATTCATGAACCCGCTCCGCAGTCCCGATCTGAATCGAAAGATTCATGAACCCGCTCCGCAGTCCCGATCTGAATCGAAAGATTCATGAACCCGCTCCGCAGTCCCGATCTGAATCGAAAGATTCATGAACCCGCTCCGCAGTCCCGATCTGAATCGAAAGATTCATGAACCCGCTCCGCAGTCCCGATCTGAATCGAAAGATTCATGAACCCGCTCCGCAGTCCCGATCTGAATCGAAAGATTCATGAACCCGCTCCGCAGTCCCGATCTGAATCGAAAGATTCATGAACCCGCTCCGCAGTCCCGATCTGAATCGAAAGATTCATGAACCCGCTCCGCAGTCCCGATCTGAATCGAAAGATTCATGAACCCGCTCCGCAGTCCCGATCTGAATCGAAAGATTCATGAACCCGCTCCGAAGTCCCGATCTGAATCAAAAGATTCATGAACCCGCTCCGAAGTCCCGATCTGAATCAAATCATTCATGAACCCGCTCAGTAGTCCCGATCTGATTCAAAAGATTCATGAACCCACTCCGTAGTCCCGATCTGAATCAAATCATTCATGAACCCGCTCTGTAGTCCCGATCTGAATCCAAAGATTCATGAACCCGCTCTGTAGTCCCGATCTGAATCCAAAGATTCATGAACCCGCTCCGTAGTCCCGATCTGAATCGAAAGATTCATGAACCCACTCCGTAGTCCCGATCTGAATCGAAAGATTCATGAACCCGCTCTGTAGTCCCGATCTGAATCGAAAGATTCATGAACCCGCTCCGTAGTCCCGATCTGATTCGAAAGATTCATGAACCCGCTCCGTAGTCCCAATCTGAATCAAATGATTCATGAACCCGCTCCGTAGTCCCGATCTGAATCAAATGATTCATGAACCCGCTCCGTAGTCCCGATCTGAATCAAATGATTCGCGATCCATTTAGCGCTTTCGAAACAGTGAATAATTTTGTGATGCAATAGTTTAACTGATTCCTCCACGGAATAAAAAAGGTAATTGCGACTTTTTTTTATCCCCCTCAGAATTCTGAGTTTACATTTGTAAACGATGTTGCGACTTTTAATCTCGGAGCTCTTTTGAACTGCAAATCTGTAGTTCTGGCGTTTTTCCTCAGAATTGTGTTCAAGCTTCTCCCATTTGCTCTTTTTACATTGACAATACACAATGATAATTGTTCTAATATTTATTACAATATACTGATAAATTTAACATTCACTTCAGTGGTATGAGAGACTGGATGCTTTCAACTGATTTCTATTGAACTGTCAGCAACTGAACTGCAGCTCAAACTATTTCAAATATAGTGAATGAAGCTACACTCATATTGAGTCATTTACGCTGGAACCGCTCTGATTGATTCAAATTCAAACTCGTGACTTCGATCACTGATTTCAAGCGATTCACTAGTAATAGTTAGTTCAAAAGAGCCATTTTCGAATTTCGACGTTGCTTGTAATGATTTTAAAAAGCACGTCTAGTGATGGGTGAAACTCTTTTGTGTGTGCAAGATACAAGTAATTCTCTAAAATACAAGTAATTCTCTAAAATACAAGTAATTACCATAGGCTTACAACAGGGATTTAACAAAACACGGTTACAAGATGGTTTTATGAGTACTCGCTTTAATATAAATTATTCAGACCCCACAGATTTGCAAGCATAATTACTATGTTTATAGTTAAATTTCATGAATTGTCAAGAAAATCCTAGTCAAAAATCAAAATAATAAAAAAACTTGCAAAGGTTATTTTTGGCATCATGACATTTTTTAAATGACAATTAAGCACATTTAAGCAATTTTCAGTTGCCTTCTGTAATATGGGGAAAAACAATTTTTTTACAAATGTACTTTATAATTTAAACGTCACATGAAAGTACAGTTTTGCCGTACGATGTACTGAATTTTATTTGATTTGAATGTGAAAAACAAACATTGATACTGGGTTGAAATGTGACCTGTACATTTCTTTATGAGATTCACGTGATCTTATAAAGTGTCTTTCTGGAATATTTGCTCCAGCCACAGGTTTGGCGCAGCGAAATGGAGCGCCATCTGGTGGTGAGAGACTGTAATGATTCGCACAGACATCGAAGGATCCAAACGAAATACTAAATAGATTATGCTTTATAAAGAGAGTTTGGCAATGCTTTGTTTTCTGGAGGAATAACGTTGCGTTATAATCGTAAACACAAATGTGAGATGATTTCTGATCCGTGGAGTGTTTCAGTGGTCAGTGGCTCAAATGTCCCACAATTCCCTGCGGTTTCATCAGGACCAGCGCACCAGAATTCTGTCGCCGTCCTCCACCGAGTAAAACTCCAGCGGCTTCAGATCGTTATCGATCTCAATCTCTCTGCCGGACATCTATAGGATGGGATATCACATAACGTATTTGATTTCAGCTTCATTAGTGCAACTACAGGTACTAAAAAAAATTACTAAAACTAGTACATGAAAATTAATAAAAACTATGCATGCATATTAAAAAAACTAAACTAATAAAAATGACAAAAACACATAAAATTACTAAAATTAACAAGCAAAACTAAAACTAAAACATAAAAAAAAATGTTACTTGAAATAGAATTAGATATACAAAAACAAACAAACTTATTTTATGTCAGCTACTTTCTCATTTTCGTTTAGTTTAATTTGAAGTACTAAAATAACTCAAACTAATGAATAAAATAAATTAATAAAAAACTATATAGACATGTAAAACAAAAACTAGTAAAAATTACAAAAACAACAAAAGTATTCAAATTAAAGAGAAAACAGAAAATATAACGATAAAACAAAAACTAATAGTGTCTCAAATATATTAAGCAATGCACGTTTATCATAAAAAGGTTTGTAAGAAATAAAAAAATACAATAATCGTAGGGAGTACAAATTAAAGAAAAGAATAAGTGAATTAAAACTAAAGTCCTACTCTGTGATTATGGGTGTGCTTTACCTTCGAGCAGGTGTAGGAGAGCTTTAACTCCACTCCTGGTAATTTCACCTTCTGAACGATCATCGAGCCTGAAAACAGCAGAAAACACCTCAAACATCCGCCGCGTCAGCGTTTCTAATGCACGCTTTTACCTGGCAGCTTCTTCTCTATGGGCTTCCTCTCCGAATCCTCCGGACAGACGAACGTTACGGCTGAAATGAAAGCAGAGACGTTGAGAGACGTTCATATGGTGAGGGTTTTATTGATGAGATGATGGAAGATTCGTACTTAATAGTTGATTTTTTAGCGCAAATGGTTTCTGTTCTTTCAGCTCGCCCTCGTCTGGAGCGCCGTACTCTGAGCAAACAAACAAACAAACAAACAAACCATCAAAAGAGTGTTTTAACCAGATACAGTTTTAACAGAAATCCGTGACCAGTCAATCAGATCATATCAGATGTTTAATATGCAAATAAGCAGAACCAATGAGATTCCTCAATGGGCGCATATCTGGACTCACTCTGGAGGAGCGCAAGGAATCGTGGGTGTTCACTCATGAACTCTGTGTTGGGGTGATTCTTCTCCGGGTCACTGTGACCTCCGGCCTTCAGCCAATCCAATCCAAACATCTTACAGTAATCCAGCTCCGCACCCCTCCTCTCATCCGACAAAACCTGACAACAACATCGGATAATCTGTCGTTTGATTGAGAGTTTAGGGTGTTGATCCAGTAAAAGCTCTTTTAGTGTACTTGTACAAATTCTCGTGTCAAATCTTTATTAATTTAAATAAAGTAATCGTCAGAATAACGTCAGTAATATTTCCAGATGAACACTTACTGGACTGAAGCACCTCAGCTTTACTTGATTCTCCATCAATCATGTTTTAGATTCTCACTATATCAGACTATATCCCTCTCATAAATGACTTTTCTGGAGGGTAAAATCACAGATACCCATAAATCAGTGTTTGAGCGTCACCTGTCTCATGTCGAGCAGCTCCAGGCGGCTCAGTCGCGTGATGATGATCTGTCTGGCGGTCTCCAGGTTCTTCTCTCTCTGCAGCAGTGGGTTCCTCCTGCAGGACAGATGAAGCAGAGACGGCAGCTTCTCCAGTTCGTTCACCACACGCCACTGCACGCACACACACACGCACAGACACAGACACACTCACAGACATGCATGCATGCACGCACCCACGCACACACAGACACACACACAGACACACACACACACACACACACACACACACACACACACACACACACACACACACACACACAGACACGCACACACACACACACAGACACACTCACAGACATGCATGCACGCACGCACGCACACACACACAGACACACACACACACACACGCACACGCACACGCACACACGCACACACACACACACACACACACACACACAGACACACACACACACACGCACACACTCACACACACAGACAAACAGACACACAGTCACACGCACACGCGCGCGCACACACACGCGCGCACACACACACGCACACACAGACACGCACACACAGACACGCACACACAGACACGCACACACAGACACACACACACACACACACACACACATTTCAGCTTATTATGTTTTAATAAGTACAGGTCAGAATAAGTATGCTGTCTCATTTTTACATAAATATATGTTACGCTGAATGATGATGGAACATTATTTCACCCATATTTTGACATTCTATTTTCACAAAAGTTACTTTAAAGTAGACACTTACTTGCATTTAATATGCTTGCTGTGTATATCAAATCAGTTTTATCAATTTAATTTGATGCAGACAGTAAACGGAGACGTCTTTCACATGATGTTTTTTTTAGATTTACCTCTGAAATGTTGTCGTCGTCTAGTAAAAGTGTCTTCAGCGCAGGAAACACAGCTGTCTTGTTACCTTCACAGCATGAAAATATTGTTTTTATTTATGTTCTGCATGTACAGTACACACACACACATTATAAATATAAATATACAGCTTGTTCGGTGGTTTGAAACACTCTGGTACCTGCTGAAGCGTCACTGAACTGAATGACAGATAAACTGCTGCTGGACAGATTCAGCTTCTCCAAACTGAAGATTCAAACATTATTTCACAGTTATGATACAAGATGTTCTGCATCTTCATTATCTGTTCATTCTTACCAGGGTAAATGTGAGATTTCCAGCACCGTCTCCTGGGCTATGTGGTTACTGGATACATCCAGAACTTGTAATGTCTGCAGCACACGCTCTGGTCTGGATAAACGAAAGCATGATTGGTTCCTGTGACATGAGGAATATCTCTGCTCCGTGATGATGTGAATGTGATCCAGTGTTGTACCTCAGTAATTCTGTGATGTGATTGTCAGCGAGATAAAGCTCCTCTAACTGCTGCCACATGGGGGCGCAGTGGAGAACCTGCCAAAGACAGAGGGGTCAGAGGTCATAGCCGAAGCCACACTCACATACAGTACACAACACATCAAAGGTTTGGAGTAATTAACATTCATTAGTGTTCTCTTCAAGGCTGCATTTATTTGATCACAAGTATGGTGAAACAATATTATTACAATTGTATTAGTTAATTAATATTATTTCAAAATAATGATTGAACAGAATTGCTGTTTTTATTGTATTTTTACATGAACATTATGAAATATTATAAAAATTTGATTAATAATATTCAATTTTAAATATCTCACAATACTACTGTTTTTACTTCATTCTTACAGTAATATTGTAATTATGAATATTATTAACACTTTACAGTATTACCGTTTTTACTTCATTCTTACAGTAATACTGTAAATTATTAATATTATTAACACTTTTTACAGTATTACTGTTTATCAGCTTCTCTGATAAACACTCCGATGACTTCCTGCTTTAATGAAGCCCCTCCCTCAGAAATACTCGTGATGGGCTCAGATTGGTTAGCTGGCTCAGTGTGTTGTGATTGGTTAAACCGCTGCTTTAGAACATTGATTGACTTGTGAACTTGTGAATCTTTAAAGTTGTTCAAATGAAGTTCTTAGCAATGCATATTACTAATCAAACATTAAGTTTTGATATATTTACAGTAGGAGATTTACTAAATATCTTCATGGAACATGATCTTTACTTAATATCCTAATGATTTTTGGCATAAAAGAGAAATGTATAATTGTGACCCATACAATGTATTGTTGGCTATTGCTACAAATATCCCCCAGCGACTCAACACTGATTTTGTGCTGCAGGGACACATGAATATATTTATTCATGCACGCACCCCTAGTTTTGACGGTATGGCAACAACTCTCCCTCTTCTCTAAAGCAGCGCAGCATGGCAGGGTATATATTATTATATACTGTATATGTATATTGTGCATAAACAATATCTGCAAAGTTACGACGCTGAAAGTTCAAAGCAAACGGAGATATCGTCTTTTAAAATGATGGCAGTTTAATGCCTGCAAAAACGAGCTACTTCCCGGGTTCGTGACGTCACAAACCCAGAAATTTACATAAACCCTGCCCCCGGGAACATGCAACAAAGGGGGCGGGGTTTATGTCCATTTTTGGGTTTGTTAAACGGTTAAACCATAATTTTAAAAGACGATATCTCCGTTTGCATTGAACTTTCAGCGTCGTAACTTTGCAGATATTGTTTATGCTCAAACAGCAACAGTACACACTAACTAACGTTAAATTAAAGCAATAAGCCCCAGGAAGCCGCGGTTTACAGTGTATTTATAACCGCTAAGGGGCGTTGTTAGGGTTAGCTGTTATAAATTCACTGTAAACCACGGCTTCTCGGGGGTTATTGCTTTTATAAAACGGTTATTCCATATACGTAGTAAGGTTTCACAAAATAAAACGGAGCAAATAAAGTGTAATGATATTAATAAACACAGTATTCTTCCACCAAACAATGTAGCTCCTCAGAAACAGTTGTGGTTGCTACAAAGTGGTTGCCAAGCAACACACAGAAGTAAACAAAGGTGTGTGTTACTTTGTAGCGTCATTTACAACAGCTTTGAAGCAATCAGCCAATCAGAATCAAGCACCGGAACTCTCCGCTTTATAAAAGTGAAATCGCAATCAACCACCCCTTTAAAATGTATATCATTGATTGCAATTGTTTGGTTGCTGATGAGCACCTGCAGGTGAAGTATCGCACTCCTTCATGACTCCCGTCGTGTTTTCCTCTCTCTGGATCATCCCACTCCACTCCCAGCCACACACCTGCAGGAACAGAAGACAGACGGACATCAGACCAAACCTCATACACTATACTGCCAAAAGTATTGGCACCCCCTTCTAATGAACAGGTTTGACTGCTTTAGAAATTTCCATGAGTACAAATCTTAATGTTGGAGCATATAATGATATTCTAGGGAATTGTGTGCTTCTAATTTTATAGCAACAGTTCGGACAGGACTCTTTTCTATTCTAACAATGCCTCTGTGTGTAAGGCAAGGTTCAAAAAGACATGATTGATTGAGTCAGTGTGGAAGAGCTTGACTGGTCTGGTGTGACTTTAAATGCGGACCTTAAGCCAAAAACTCATCAGCAAACACCAGTGACTTGTACATACACTATATGGACAAAAGTATTGGGACCCCCTTCTTTAGAACAGAAAAAGTCACCTGTGGCAACAAAGATGGAAACATAATTCATGCATTTAAAAAATGTATTTCCATCTCTGTTGCAACAGGTTTGGAAGTGTCTAAAATGACTGCAGACATATAGCAACAGTTCGGACAGGACTCTTTTCTATTCTAACAGTGCCTCTGTGTGTAAGGCAATACTTTTGAAAATATAGTGTATAAAGCAATAATAGCTATAAATATATCTATTTGTATATATATATATCTTTATAGCTATAAAGCTGTAATAGTTCAGGCTGGACTATTGCAATGCTCTCTTGGCAGGTCTTCCAGACTGTTCTATCAAACCTCTACAATTAATCCAAAATGCCGCTGCAAGATTAATCTTTAATGAACCGAAAAGAACACACATCACACCTCTGTTCATCAGTTTGCACTGGCTACCAGTAGCTGCTCGCATTAAATTCAAGGCATTAATGTTTGCCTACAAAACCACCACTGGATCAGTAAACACCAGTGACTTGTACATACACTATATGGACAAAAGTATTGGGACCCCCTTCTTTAGAACAGAAAAAGTCACCTGTGGCAACAAAGATGGAAACATAATTCATGCATTTAAAAAATGTATTTCCATCTCTGTTGCAACAGGTTTGGAAGTGTCTAAAATGACTGCAGACATATGTACACGTCACTGGTGTTTGCTGATGAGTTTTTGGCTCAAGGTTTCTGCAGACCAGTCAAGCTCTTCCACACTGACTCAATCATTTTTTTTCTTTTTGAACCTTGCCTTATACACAGAGGCACTGTTAGAATAGAAAAGAGTCCTGTCCGAACTGTTGCTATAAAATTAGAAGCACACAATTCCCTAGAATATCATTACATGCTCCAGCAGTCAAACCTGTTCATTAGAAGGGGGTGCCAATACTTTTGAAAATATAGTGTATAAAGCAATAATAGCTATAAATATATCTATTTGTATATATATATCTTTATAGCTATAAAGCTGTAATAGTTCAGGCTGGACTATTGCAATGCTCTCTTGGCAGGTCTTCCAGACTGTTCTATCAAACCTCTACAATTAATCCAAAATGCCGCTGCAAGATTAATCTTTAATGAACCGAAAAGAACACACATCACACCTCTGTTCATCAGTTTGCACTGGCTACCAGTAGCTGCTCGCATTAAATTCAAGGCATTAATGTTTGCCTACAAAACCACCACTGGCTCTGCACCCATTTACCTAAATTCATTACTTCAGAGTTATGTGCCTCTAGAAGCTTGCGTTCTGCAAGAGAACGGCGTATTATTGTTCATCCCAAAGAGGCACAAAATCACTTTCACAGACTTTTTCATTAACTGTTCCCTCCTGGTGGAATGACCTGCCCAAATCAATCCCAGCAGTCCTTAGCCATCTTCAAGAAACGACTAAAAACACATCTGTTACACCTTTATTTGACCCTCTAACTCTAGCACATTCTATTCTATTTTAATTCTACTTTATCTATATTTATCTTCTTTTTTTATTTAAAAAACAACAACAACAACAACAAAAAAGAAACAAACACTAGCTTTCTATTTTTTCTACGTGTACAGCGTTAGGCTAACCGAGACTTGTCATTTGCACTTATA